CTTTTCCTCGTTATTATTAAAAGATGTTTTTGTTGGGTACAGAACGCTAGATTTTCTTTTACTATTTTAAAAATGTCAATCCCTGGTTTTATGCCTAACATTGGAGAAGTTTGCTATAATTCTTATCTGTGTTCTTCTCTATATATCTATATCATGAGTCTTTTTTTTTTTTTCTGGCCACCTTTAAGACTTCCTCTTTATCTCTGATTTTCAGCAGTTTGATATGATGTGATTTTGCTTTTTATCTTACTTGGAATTCTCTATGATTCTTGGATCTGTTTTTGATATCTCTCATTATCTTTGGAAACTTCTCATGTTATGTCTTCAAACACTTATTCTGTTAGTTCTCTTTTCCTTCTAGGATTCTAGTAACATATCTGTTAAACCATTTGATATTCTTCTGCAGGTCTTCAATGCTCTGTTCTATTTTTTCAGTTTTATTAAGAAATAATTGGCATACATGACTGTGTAAGTTTGAGGTATACAGCATGATGATTTGATTTACATATATTGTGAAATGATTACCAAAATAGATTTAACTGACATCCATCATCTCATAAAGGTACAATTAAAAGAAGAAAAAGAAGAAAATAAAAAGAGAATGCTTTCTCCTTGTGGTGAGAATTCTTAGGATTTACTCTCTTAATAACTTTTCTACACATCATACATCAGTATTAACTATAGTTATCATGTTATACATTATATCCCTAGTACCTGTTTATTTTATAACAGGAAGTTAGTATCTGTTGACTATTTTTCTCTACTTCTTTCTCTTATCTGTCACCTCTGATAATCTCAAGTCTGATCTTTCTTTGTTTTAGAGGTTGTACATATGAGATGATACAGTATTTGTCTTTCTCTGTCAGGCTTATTTCACTCAGAATAATGCCTTCAAGTTCTATCCATGTTGCCACAAATAAGGCTTCCTTAATCTTATGGTTTTTCCTACAGTGACAGATAACATAGTCCTCTATGCCTATGCTACTGAGGAAACCTTTTTTTAGACTCATCCTGCGCCCAGTCTTTCTTGTGCGTATCTGGTAAAGGTTATGGAAAAGAGCTTGTCAGTAAGTACCAGCTTCCCTTGCTTCTGTGGCAAGGGAAGATTCTTTGTAGTTTCTCTGACCCACACTAGGCCTTTAGTGATTCGTTGAAATTGTAGCTGTGTTCTTCTTACTTGCTTCTGTAATGACCCAAAGACCTCCCAGGCTCTGGCATAGATGAGCAAGCAGTCCACACGTCCGGTCTCTGCTCTGGAGGACTGTGCTTTCTTGGACAGCAGGCTACTTGGTTGACCTGCAATGTCAGCTAAGCATTTAGATTCAACCTTTCAGTTCAAAGTGAGTTGTGATTTTGCAGTTTGTCTGGCTTTTCCTCATTGTCAGGGGGCTAACAGTGCTCTTTCAAGTTTCCCGTACCCTAAGTGGAAGTGGACTTCATACATGTTCTGTGTCATAGTCCCCCCTCCCCCACCTGCCACTCAGGATTGCAAACTATCCGCCTTGTCATGAAAACATTATTTTTAATACCTGTATGTTATTGCTTTATATTAATGTGGCAAATTATTCAACAAAATTCAAGTTATTGGACATTGCAAGAGACTTAATGTTCCATTTTCCCATCATCTTTACGCCAACCACTTCCTGTAGTAGTGGGTTCCTTTCTCTAGAGAACCCTCCAACTTTGCGTGGCTCTCTGGAGTTGCCCGTCACAGGACCCTGTCTCCCTGGCCTCTGATGAGGACAACCCGGGGCCTCCCCCTCATAGTATTCTGAGTCCACTGATTGATTCAGAGGTGAGCCTGTGAGAGGAGAAACAAAATCTTTCTTCAGAAATGTCTGTAGCGTAGATTAAAAATTTTGTCTACTGGGATCATAAAGCTGGAAGACTATGGATTGAGGACTCACAGCTGCCATCTTCCCCACAACTTGAAGGAACTCCTGTGTGCAGTAGGGAAGCAGGATAGTAAGAAGCTGGGAAAGTTCATTGGCAAATGGAATGGGGAGAGAGATAGACAGCTGAACAAATCATCCGACCAATTTACAGCCAAGCACAGAAGGTCACCAGGGCCAGAAACCCCGGGTGCCCAGTGAGGGGCAAAGCTGGCACTGGGGCTCCCCACAGGGTGACCTTTCCTCCCTGGCATACCGCTGGGCATATGAGTTAGACCCCTTGACCTTTTATCCCTAGAGATGACAACTAGGCCTCAGTTGTATTTCAGCTCCAGGCCCAGAAAATTAGCAAAACCAGGTGAGTAAAGACCCAGAACGTGCCTCCTCCCCCCTCCCCCACCGTGAGCACGCCCACACATTTCCCTTCCTCCTCCTCTTCACCCACAGGCACAAATCTCCTCACTCCTAAGGGACCACATGACACTGTTACAGTCCAGACTGGGGAGTGGGGTGGGGGGATGAATGATACACTGTTACTGAAAGGGCCCCCCCTTTTTCTCTGGGGGTCCCTTGCTCATACTAGGTTCACTTTGCCCACTGCCAGAGGAAAGATGTTTCTCAATGTGAGAGACTGGTGAAAAGGAAAGGGATTATTTATTTAAAAGTTATATAGACTTAGAGTTATTCTCTAAATTATTCTCTCTTAAAGTTATTCTCTCCTGTTGCTTTTAATGTCTTCATTAAAATACTAAAGTTCTTCAGAATACCCACAAACACACACAGTCCTTCCTTCTCCCCTCTGTCCAGTCTGGGGTACCATATCTCAGGAAAAGAAGTAGAAGTCCGTGGTTCAGGCTCCTGGCACCATCCGCAGTGTTGCTGCAGTGATCTCCAGTTAATCCAAGGCCATGTGGCACATTCTCATGGCCCCCCAGGAAGAGTCCTTTCACTCCTTTTCTTCCAGGTAAGGTCTCTCCTGCTGCCCAAGCCATGTGACAAAAGGGAGCACCCCAGAGCTTCGTAGTCCTAACTCTTGCCCAAGCCACAGTGGTCTCCATTTCACCACAGCCTCATGGTCCTAACTCCTCCAAAGCCATGTGGTCCTTACCTGGTATGGCTGATGCACTTGGGTTTAAATCCTTGTGCCAATCTTCCTCTGTAGCCCCATTTCCGATTCCTCCCACAATCAGTTACACCTGCCAGCATTCCCGTATTCATCCAGCATTACCAGGCTGCTATATTAAGTCTGGGCAGGCATGGCCCCATGGCATGGAGCCAATCATCTCCGAGCTTTCACTCAAGCACTGTAACCAGGGGGGAGCTGCTTCTCAGTTACTTCCTAGGTTGAAGTCACTCCCACCCCCCTGGCTCAAAGCATGGCCACAGCTATTTAACATATCTATGAAACCAGTTAAAGGCTATAGATATGTTAATTGACCATGCTAGAATTTAGCTGCAAAGTTGTTGCTATGCAAAACAGCTCTCAATGTCCCTGCTCCATGTGTCCCATCCCCCAGCTCAGACTGCTGGGGGTGAGGACATCATATATATATATATTTTTTCCTCTAATATTTCCTGGACACCCTGAATTCCGGACCCTATTGCAGATCCCCAATGGAGGGCCCTGCCTTGGCTGCACCCTGTTACAACACTTGCAGCTAGGGCAGCAGTGAGCAGTGGCAGCTGGCCCTGGGCTAAGCCCCTGAACCTGTCTTCGAGCCCCCCTTCTCTCTAACTTTCCCATGAGCTGACAGCAGCCCCACCTTGTTTCACTACTTTCTCATAATATTTCTATAGAGCCAAAGTAGCCCTGCCCAATCTCTCTCCTGTTGCTTGTTCTATCCTAATCTCTGTTTTGTTGTTCCTCAGCTTTAATAAATGTACGCTCAGAATTTCCTGGACTTGTATTGTGAAATCTCTTCTGCGTGAAGTCAGGAGCCCACACACTACAGGCTGGCCCTAGGCGGACCTACCCAGGTGAGGCGGGTCTTCCCCCCCAGCAAGGTCTGGAATGTATGAGCCACTGGCTCCTAACTGTGGTTAGGGAAGATAAAATCTGTGGTTTTATTTTCTGGCTGTAAATTGCTCAGCCCTTTAACTATGTGTTTCCTTTTCCCCATGCCACTTGTCAAGGAGTTTTATTAGAGGAAAACTCTTAGAAGCTAGGAGCAGCATCAAGCCTCTGATTTCAGGCCGTAAAGTCTGCGGAATTTCTCAGTTTCCCTCATTTGTTTCTTCATATCTTATCCACCCCAATTATCAAAAATGCTTTTTTGCTTATGTTGGTTTTATTTGGGTTGGTCATTGGTCAGGAAAGTATTCTTACTAATTTATATTCTAGGTGGCTTTCAAGTCTTGCCATTATAACCAGCACTATAAAGAAACTCAATGTGGTAGGGAGGGTTGGGGGGGAAAGGCAGAAAACTGTACTTGCACAACAATAAAAAAAGTTTTAAAAAACCCAGTGTGGATACTTTTCTTGCATATGTGCATGCTCTCTTTCCCCATCAAGAAACATTTCCATGGGAGTTGCTAAGTCAGCAGATAGGGACATCTGAAAAGCGTTTGACATGCATCAGGAAATTACCTTCAGAGAGGTTGTCCATTTTGTTTCTCAAGGAGCGACATGTCCCTACCTCCACAGTCACAGCACTGAATAGTGTTAATTTTTAAAAAATCCCAATTAGATAGAAGTATTCTGTTTTTCTATCAATACTGCTCCCATACCTGTGATCCCAAAGATGTCTTAATAGAATGATAAAAAGAGGTGAAATGATCAAATGGGTAAGAGAATTTGGAATGAAACCAGAAAAAAAGGGTGGAGTCCAAAAATTTGTTCTGTGAATGTCACCACTGAATACTGAGTCCTGGCTTTCCCCCGAGACAGGTATTATGGACTGGCTGAGGCAGTACGAATGTTTCAGGGAGAAGTTAATTTACGGAAGTGAATGGTAGCTGTACCCTGGTCCACCACCTTAGCCTGAGGCCCCCGGTAGGTGATTGACGGGAGCTTCAGTGGTAGCTCCACGCCCTGTCTCAGGACTTAATACATATGGTCCAGCAAGGAGCAGATCTGTTGATTCTTAGAAGTCTATGTTACCTACAAAGATGTGAGCTGGGCTCCTTCTAGGAATATTGGCTCTAACCCCAGCTATTGCACAAAAACTCTTCCGTAAGTGTTTGATATCTGTCTACCTTTCTCAAATATAAATCTAGGGGAGACGAGATAACCTTTGGTTTATTTTAACTTCTTTTTCATCTTTTGCCTTTTTTGGTTGTGTTTCTCCTTTTACCCAAGAAAGAAAAGTTGAGGCCCAAGAGGAAGCGTTTAAAAAACATAATATTAAAATATAGCGGACTCTCTGTACTCTGTTCTCTGTAAAAGGACTAATTTCCTCCTTAGTACCCTAGACACAGGTTCTCATTGATGGCTTCCCGATTGTGGGAGGTTTAAGGCTGTGCACTGAGTTGTTTGTTACTTATGTTTTTCCTCATGGACAACAATGTTCATAAAGGCAGGGGCACAGACTGTTCAATTCTCGGTGACATGCGATTGTTCATGAGAGGGCTTAATTCTCCATTGAATGGATGAATCACGACTGTCTGGAAGTCCTTTTCCTTCATTACTAGGAACTACCTGGTGACATTACCAGCCCAGCTGAATTTTCCCTCAACTCAGAAGGTTTGCTTGGATCTGAGCCCTGAGTACTATGGTGTAAAGTTCACTATTACTCTGGAGACCAAGGGCAAGACCCAGAAGTTGCTTGAACACCATGGGTCGAGGAAGAGGCACTTACATTGTATGTCTTTTTTGGTAAGCACAGACTTACCCCAACTCTAATTCCTTACTTTTCTAGTCCCCTCCTTAGATACTCACTATAATCTCATTTTAATTATGCTTTCTGTCATTTTACTTTTGTCTTTTACATTTTACTTACTTACTTAGACTTATTTCCCCAAGCCTCAGTTTAATTTCTGGCCATAACTCATCCATAATTTCCCTAACTGTAAGTTTTCTTTTTTCAGTTCTTGACCTTAACCTCTGATTATCATTTGCCATCTTCCTGGCAACTTGTTTTACTCAGTTCTTTCCTTTCACCCTCCCACTCTGGAGTTGAGACCAGTAGACCCCGTTCCCCAGTCTCCTGCTCCTCCCTAAAGCACCCTCTCTTGGCCAGATACCACCTCCTGCAGGTGACACAGAATAAGTGTCTACAATTCAGGTGTTGGGAACCAGAAATAACATCAGCTTTGAGGGAAAAAATTGGTTCTAATTCAGAGGCAGAGGAATGGCATCTTCGTACAGACTTACAAACCTATCTACAACCCAGGGCAGCGAGGTAAGAGGCACACTTCCGGGATTAGACAAAAGGGGGCGGGGGGAGAGTGACAGGTACTTGTAAGCATGGGTTTTGTGATTGGTGGTCAGCGTATGGAATAATGAATGCAGAAGAGATGAAGGGCTGTGGGGGAAGACGTGTTGAGTGGATGCCCCCTGTTTCACAAGCCAAAGAGCAGTGAGTGGAGTTGCTACTGTGGTGTATTTCTAACACAGAAGTACACATTTCTTCTGGAATGAAGCTTGGCAAGTGTCACTGAGTTGTCTGGCCCTCCAGGAAGCTGCTTGTAGATGAAATATGCAAACACACATTTGGCTTCAGCCCCTGTTATTTGTTCCTTCTTGCTTAGAGGGGTAGTTCATTCTGAGGTTTCAGAGTCAGCAGCCCTGAATACAAATTGCTTGAGGGCTTTATCTTTCTCTGTGACTAGGTGTTATTGGGATTATTTTTTAAGTAGAACCTGATGAGGTTTTGCTGACTCAGAAGTGTGTGTGAGGCAGTAGAAAGGTGGAAGAAAGGAAGGTTCTGAGAAGGGAAATATCCCTTTTGCTAATGAAGCCCGTTTCCTTCTAGTGCACTTCCGAATTCTCACCCTGAACAGCAACTTTGTTCCAATGAATGACAAGGTGAGAATTTAGTTGGGAAGATGGAAAGAGAAAGGAGTAGGGCAGACTCAGAGAGATTAGGAGAAAGGAGAGCTTCTTTCCAAGGGTGTGAGGAGGTGAGGCCCTCTGAGGTGCAGAACGCAGGCGGGAAATTGAAATACAAGTCTAAGTCCTCGTAGCCCCTGTCTGCCTGTACACAAGCAGATGGATCTTGTTCTCGGGTCCGAGAGATGAAAATGACAGGTTAGCGTTCTTGAGAGATGGTTACCTTCCCTGTTGTTGTAAAAGAGTTTCTGCAAATTTTGAGAATTTCTGGGAATGACACAAAGGCACTTTGCAGTTCAAACATTAAGAAGCAGTTCATGAGTGAGTTTAACCAAAGGAAGAGATAAGAACATTCGCCCTCCTCATCTTTTTTTGTTGTTGTTGTTTTACTACGAGGCAAGGTAATTTATAAAATAGACAATTCTCTAAGGCAACATTGAAAAGTACCAATTTATAAAGTAGACAGTTCTCTTAAGACAACATTTTAAAAGTACCAGAAGTAAAAATGTGGTAACATTTGATGAATACTTAAATTTTCCTTGAACTCCTCGAGCCCTAGGATCATAAGCCTTATGAGAGAGAGGGCTGACCTTCATTCAGGGCTCACGCCTTTTCTGCATGCTTATGAAATACTTAGTTCTCACGCGCCCCTGCTGCCTTCTTTCTCCTTCAGTCACGGCCAATACATTCGAGGGAATCTTTTAAAGATCGTTATGGGGAAAGCATTGTTTTTACTTCTGTCTCCATGTTCTCAGAGCTCCTGTTTCCTTTCCCCACATACAGAGAGGCTATGTACGGGCTTATTGATCAGTGGCCTCCCCCACCACTGCTTTCTTCCCCAATTTGGAATTCTGTTTCGTTTCTCCTTCCTGTCATCTGTATCCTTTCTTTGTCAAAAGTTTGGTATAATATGCAGTAGTAATTGTTTAACCGACTGTTGATCCCAGAACTACAAAGAGGAAGTGCTAAGGTGAGAGTGTGGCCAGAGCCAAAGTCATCTCAGCCTCTGCAGCGCCTTTGAGGTCGATCTCATTAACGACCCTTTCTTTCCCTTGCCTTTCCCTGCTCATTCGATGCTGTATTGCTCACCTGTGTTCTGATTTGCACTGTTATGCTCTGATGTAAAACTGCTCCTTCCTCTCCACTCCATTTCCCCAGCCAGCGCTGCACCCCAAGTTCCAGTTCGAAACACTGAACATTTGGAACACTGAAATTAACAAAAGGAATTTAACTAAGAAACTGAGAGACAAAAATTCTGGGTATGCAGAGCACAGCGTTTTATCCTCGAGTAACTAAAGTATACTCGAGATTAACTGGCCCTGCCTAGTTTGGTTGCTACACCCTTTCATTCAGAAACTTCAGGCAGCTTCCAGTTGGAAATACTATCTTTCTAGTTGAACATTTGTTTCCTTCCAGAGCCTACTTCTGGGTAACTGGTATCATCCTTGCTTATTGGCTCCCTATATGAGACAAATACTTTGTTATCTGAGGAAGTGTTCTTTTTCTGGAATTTATAGGATTCCATGATAACCTCAGTGATATTTGTCTTTTTTAAAAAAGATTTTATTCACTTACTTTAGATAGAGGGGAAGGGAAGGAGAGAGGGAGAGAAACATCTGTGTGTGGTTGTCCCTCAAGGGCCCCGTACTGGGGACCCAGCCTGCAACCCAGACATGTGCCCTGACTGAGAATCGAACTGGCGACCCTTGGTTCTCAAGCCCGTGTTCAACCTACTGAGCCTCACCAGCCAGGGCAATACTTGCCTTCTTATTGCCTATATAGCCCTGGTTTGTGCCAGTCCTGTCCTTCCTTGGGGAATAGCCCACCCCAAAATGTGCTGCTTTGCATCGTGGATTATTTTGAGCTGAAGACAGATAAGGCTCTGCAGACTCAAGAAAAACTTTTACTACTCCCTTGACTGGCTAAAAGAATTTAGGTAGGTGGTTTGTGCCAGAAAGAGCTATTATCAAAGATAATTTTCTTTTCTTAATCTGAAAGGCTTACTTGCCTAGAGGGCAAACATCTGATTACCGAACTTGTGCTCCTCTCACCTTTCTGTGAAGTGGCCTCCTCCCCTTTGGAACCGCAGACCCCTGTGCCATTCCTTAGCTCCAGATGGTATGTAAGCCTCAGTTGCCTCACTCCTTTTGAGTCTCATTGTTTTTGTGGTGCTCCTATGTACATAATTAATTTTTTCCTGTCAACCTGTCTTAGGTCATTTTATTTATTAAACTAGTCAAAGAACCTAGAAGGGAAAACAGAAAATGTTTCCATTCCTACAATCTTTCTCTCTCACTTTTTGGCTTTCCTGGAGAATTGCCATTATCCTTGGTATCATGGCTAATGCTTGTATTTAGTGAAGCTCTGCGTCTTCACTGGTCAGCATCGCATGGTTCGTGGCCTAAGAATCAAAGACAAGCACCCACTAGATTCCACGCCATCTCCCTTCCACGTGAGACCCAAACCGCACCCTCTGCAAGGCCCCATATCTAAATTCCACCTCTCAACCTCATGTAGTCACGAGCCCTTTGAGGGGTATGTAATGCTAGCTGGAAAGCACTGAGTCCAAGAAATGTACAGCCTCTAACTAGACTTTTAATTATATTCACATCCAAGACATTGTAATTATCTAGTTCCCTGGTCATGGTTTTGTAAAATTTTAACAATTAGAATTTTAAGAAATCAAAATATTCTACACAAACAGAGACAACACAGTAAGAAGTAGTTTTCTCACAGAAAAATTATCTTGAGCAGTCATTTTTGTTTTTAACTTTTTAAAAAAATTATCTTTAGATGAGAAGGGAAGGAGAGAGGAAGAGAAATATCGATGTATGGTTGCCTCTGTGCATCCCCTGTTGGGAACTGGCCTGCAACCCAGGCATGTGCCCTGACTGGGAATTGAACCGCAATCCTTTGGTTCGGAGGCCCGAGCTCAATCCACTGAGCTACACCAGCCAGGGCTGTGTTTAACTTCTAATTATTAGAATTTTCAAGCATAACACCAAGATTCAACTTTTGTTATCATTTTGCTACATTTGTTTTAATCTATCACTTTTTGCTAATTTAAAAATAAGTTGCAGACATCATAACATGTTACTTCTAAATACGTTAGCATATATTTTCTAAAAAGAATGTCTTAAATAATCATAATATTATTATGACACCTAAGAAAATGAATAATTATTTAATATCATTTACTATGCAATCCTAAATCAGTTTTCTCCAAATTTTCAAACTAAGAGACCAAAAAAAAAATCTATGCATTACAATTAATTATGTTTAAAATTTTTCTTAATATAAAATAATTCCTTTTATATTTTTATTATGTTGACTTTTTTTCCTGAGCGATCAGGCTAAATGGCTTTTAAAATGTCCTCATTCTGAAATATGACACTGACTTTAAGCAGGGGTCCCCAATCCATGAACGGTTTAAGGAACTGGTCCATACAGCAGGAGATAAGCTTGAATGTAATGCACTTGAATCATCCTGAAACCATCCCTCCCACCCCTGTCCAAGAAAAATTGTCTTCCAGGAGACCAGTCCCTGGTGCCAAAAAGGATGAGGACTACTAATAAGGAAGCCTAACTTCTCTTACAGAATATTTGACGGTCTTAATTTGTCTGATTATTTCCTTATTGTGTAATCTAATTTGTTCCTCTATCTTCTCGAAGTAGGTGTAAGGTCTTAACTAGATCTAAGCTAAACATTTTTGGCAAAAATACTTAGCAGGTCACACTGTGAACCTCAAATGTATCTCTTCAGGAAAGAAGCACAGAACTTCCGTTTTCCCACTATTAGGGATGGTGAGTTTGATTACTGGTTAAGGTAGCTTAACTTCTCCGATGCAAAGTTATATCTTTTCCTCTGAAACTGGCAAGTGATTTTGAGTGATACTCATACCTGGCACAATGACGGGTTCCCCACCAACTTAATGGTTTTAGCAGCTATTTTCTTAAGGAAACTACACACGATCCTTTTGTTAGAACTCTTCTATTTATTTATTTCAAATATTTTATTTATTTATTTTTAGAGAGAGGGGAAAAAAGGGAGAAAGAGAAAGAGAGAAACATCGATGTGCAAGAGATACATCAGTTGGTTGCCTGTCGGATGCCCACAGCTGGGGAGCTGGCCGGCAACCCAGGCACGTGCCCTGACTGGGAACCGAGCCAGCGATCTTTTGGATTGCGGGCTGGCACTCAATCCACTGAGCCACACCAGACAGGCTGGAACTCTTTTAAACAAATTATTTTAGAAATTGTTTTGCAGTGCTTAAAAATAAAGTTTCTACCATGGCATTCGAATAGCAGAGGAGGGGATGGGAAATAACTGGCTTCAAGAAGAGGTTTAAACAGTGTGGACACTGCTGATGCTCACACTTTCTGCAAGAGCTATCACAGAGCACCAAGGGATGCTGAAGCTCCACTTCTGAACTTCAGACACTTCTGAAGCTCCATTTCTTCCAATATTTTGGAGACTGGCAATCCCTTTGAGGAAAGCTCTTCTCCTTCCCCAGTCAATAAGCTTTTGCCCCATTGTGACCCTTATCAGAGCACAAAGAGCCGTTTGAAAGGAAGGAGTGGCCAAGGAGGAAGAAAGAGGCCTTTGTGAACTTCTTGCTTTCAACAACCCTATAGTCTTACTGCTTACCCTGTTTTAATGGTACATTGTCTGGTTTTCTTTTTCAGTATTCCATGGTGGAACTGCGGGTAAGTAGAAGTTCCTCCCTCCCTCCCTCCCTCCCTCCCTCCCTCCCTCCCTCCCTCCCTCCCTCCCTCCCTCCCTCTTTCTCTCTTCTCTTCTCTTCTCTTCTCTTCTCTTCTCTTCTCTTCTCTTCTCTTCTCTTCTCTTCTCTTCTCTTCTCTTCTCTTCTCTTCTCTTCTCTTCTCTTCTCTTCTCTTTCTGTCAGTTGTGGAGAAAGAGGAATGAAGGTTTGGTGCTAAACTGGGAAAACAGAAAGAACTCTGAGATCTTGGCCCAGAGCCTGGGACTCTGCCCAGCACCGAGTGCCCACAATTCCACCTACGTTGTGCCTATTCTCTTTCCTCCGCATTCCCCATCCTCTCAGACCTGTAAGGAAAGTCACTGACCTCAGCTGTGACTAACCCTCCCACTCTGATTCCTGAAACTTCTCTGTGCCATGCCAGTTCACCTGGTTCTGTTCTGTGAGTTTTCAGTAATAAGCTCTTGTCATAGACCCTTGACAGTTGAACATGACATGAATGCCTGTGAGAGTGTTAAGAAACAAAGGGCCTAGAATTACGAATTCCCCACAGCATCCCTTCCATTTTTCTGTTAATTACGTATCTCTCAGGAATCTTACAATCAATCCCTTCAGTGTTGTTCCTTAATAGGGACCAGAAATAGAGAAAACATCCTTTGTAAATGACATTCTAAATACCACCTGGTCGTAACACCTCAGGACTCAGTCTGATCACTTGAAACCACAAGTGCCCTTTTCTTTCCAAATGGGGGCTGACCCTCTAAGTAAATTGATCTCGTCAGTAATGAAGAAAACTATAAATAACCCAGCGCACTGTTCTTCCTTGGCACAGACCATAGGGAGAATTCTTTATGTGCCCTTTTCAGTGCAAAGTGCAGATCAGACAGGCAGGCACATCACCAGGTTTCTTTTTAAATGGATATAGGACCCAAATAGCAATAGGATTGCACAGTGGCTGGAAGTGGTACCTAAGCAAGGGATTGTGGAGCTACCCTTCCAACTGGCACCAGAGGCAATGCTGGGCACCTACACAGCGGCAGTGGCTGAGGGCAAGACCTTTGGCACCTTCAGTGTGGAAGAATATGGTAGGTGGGAGAATTATGAAGTCAAAGAGGAATGTTGGATACAGTCTGGTCACAAAATCAGCAAAGATAAAGTAAAATCTACTACCAGGAAGGGTATTTATTCATCTTTTAATCAGTGCTAAACCAGCTGATAACTTCAGTAGCACTTTATCTAATAAAGCCCCCCTTAATTAATTGATTAACTCATTAAATGGTCACCACTTTTACCCCCACTCTTCACTACCTATCTGGTCAAGTTCTCCTATTCCTTTTCCATTTTTTGGTACTCTCTCCAGTGTTGCCTAAGTTTAAGGTGGAAGTGATGGAACCCAAGCAGTTATCAACAGCAGAGGAATCTTTCAGGGTAAAAATTTGTTGTAGGTAAGAATAAGCTCTGGAGCTGGTGGACGTTAAAGCTATTTTGAGAAGGATGTTGAGGGAGCCTTATGGAGAGATGGAGGTGGTGGTTAAAACTTGGCATGTTTCATGTAGTCCAGAGTTGTGACTTCTCCAAGAACACACTTCCTAATTGTGTTTCTGCTCTTACTTCCCATTGCTCACTCAGTCAGCATGATTGATTTTCAGTTTACTTTGTGCTGAATGGAATATTGAATCTCATGAAGAAACAGGAGTAGGAAAAAAGACACTATTCCATCCTTTGGATGATCCTTATTGTGTAGTGGCAGTACTCTAAGGCTTTGAGTTAGCAGGGAGGTGAGTGAGAGCTGGAAAAGAGTAGGATTGTCAGAGTACTTGCCAAAGGTGGAGTTGGGGAAAGAAGGAAAAGCGGTGTTTGGGGACATAAGGGTAGGACCTCAATTGGAATTTCCCAACTCTGACTCCTCATGCCTTTCTGGGTTAGGTACACCTATGGAAAACCCATGGTAGAGGCCGTACAGGTATCAGTGTGTCAAAAGGCATATACTTACCACTTGGGAGGGGCAGAATGAGAACAGAGAGATACCTGACAAATGCAGCAACCTCTCTGGACAGGTGGGTAAGGAACCTTACCCAAATGTCCTACAGAGTAAGTGAGCACAAACATAAAACAGTGGTACAAGGCCCAGAGAAGAAAACATTTCACATGATTATTATCCCAGTTCCAAAGAACAAAGCAGTCTTCTTTATCCTAAACAAAGTCTTTTAGAATCTACCTTGTAATCTACCTTGATTCTTTTAGAATCTACCTTGATTCCACCTTGTAATCAAGAAATGAACTTCAACCCTTGGGAGATAGAATTCTTCTGTTCTGCAATTGGTTCTTTTCCTTTTGTCCTATTTTGGAGCTTCAAGTTTGTTCATGATTATATACATACAGGTGTATACTCTGCATGTGCAAGTGTATACTCTGTGTCATAAAGGTTTTTCTGTCTTAAAGATGGAGAAAATAAGCTGTGAAGATGAGAAATTGCTCCTTTTTGCTGCACACTATGAAATGGAAGTAGTGATTGCATTATTCATCCTCTCCCCCTCTCTGACTTACTAGACTGACAAAGCCCAATGCTTCTCAGCTTCTGTGAACATGTCCACCTTCAACCTCACTGGTTATCTGTACATCCACAGCATCAATATTGTGGCTACTGTGGTGGAGGAAGAGACCAGTAAGTGCTTGGTTCATCAAGAAAAAGGAAAGGAAAGGGGCTGTTGCAGGGAAACACCTACTCAGAGGATTCCAGATCTACCTTTGTTTGAGTTTGGGAGCGACTTCCTAGTTCACAAAGGGAAACGCCAGATTCCCATCTGCTATCCACACCTATTTCCCCCAAAGATTTGGGGAGGAGGAGTTGGTTTGGATCTTTGGCTAGAAATATATTCAACTTCATACTTCCAGAGGCGCCATCCTTTCAGAGGTTTTATATTAAATGTAAAGATGAGGATTTCAGGCATTTAGATTAATGTACATCTGGTTTTCCTCTGCAGGCATGGAGGCCAATAGCACTCAGGATATCTACATTTCTTCACAAATAGGATCAATGACCTTTGAAGACACCAGTGATTATTATTACCCCTATTTCCCCTTCACTGGGAAGGTGTGTTAAAGCCTGTCTCTGCAGAGACAAAAAAAAATTTAGCTGTTGCCTCCTTTCTGTTGACATCTAAAAATAAAACTAACAGCATTGTTCTAAGTACTCTATGGATATTTACTTATTTAATCTCTGCAATAATCCTGCGAAGTAGACACTGCTATTGTCCCCATTTTACAGATGAGAGGCAAGAGAGGTTAAGTGATTTTGCCCGAGGTTCTGTAGTTAGTAAGTGGAAACTGTGCCAAAAACCGGGCAGCCTGCATCTAGAATGTACACTTTTAACTCCCTACGTTGCACGGCCCCTAATCCCACATGAGCTGTACCTTGGAAATTAATGTTACTCTGGTGCCCTTCCTAGTGCCAAAGGCTCACACTCTAATGTTCAGATATTTGAATTTTAGGGCTGCAAGGTACTTGGAAAAATCATTTAGTCTGCTCTCCTGCATCTAGGCAAGGTTATCATCAAACTTTCCTGGACAGAGAGCCATTTATAGATCCTTATGCATTTTTTTAGAGAGTTTTAAATTTCCTTTGTAAATATCTCCTTTCTAATATTTACATTGACCCTCCTCTCCAGCTTATCTTTCTTCACTTCTCAGACATCTGGTCAACACAATAATGTACATGTTTAGATCCATTTATGCCTTAGTCATCTTTTCTCTAGACTGAGAGTAGATCCAGATTTTCTTAGAGCCTAATGATTATACAATTTGGGAGTGGAAGAGGATCATCTTTAAGAAAATGAAAGGAAAATGCTGTCCAGAGCCTTAGGAAGAGCCTGTGCAAATGAAAGGCCCTAAGGCTTCGTGAGCTACTTGGCTACTGTACTTCTACTCCAGGCTAAGCTACTGCTGTTTGTTTTTCAGGTCCTCAGAGATCCTAGTTTCCAATGCTTGAGTGCATTTGCCTCTTTCTGGACTCTTTCCTGAAATGTATTCTTAGAGTTTCTGTTATCACGTCACTTTACCTCATATTCAAACCTACTTCAAGTCTAACTGTGGTGACCTTCACCCCTCAGATAAGAGTTAGGGGCCATGATGGCTCCCTCCTCAAGAATCATAGAGCATTTCTGATGATTTTTGGCATAAATGCAACCATCAACCATGTCCTAATTACTGACGATGATGGCCTTGCTTTCTTCAAGCTGGACACGGTTAATTGAAATGGGACAGACATTTCTCTGGAGGTAAGCACTGGGGAGGACCAGCAGAGACGGGTTTGGAGGAACATTTCAAAATGTTTCTGTTTCTTTCCCCCCCCTTCCACCTCCATTTGTAATTCCACCATCCTCATTTACCATCTGCAGCCCAGTTGGCAAGATCTTTTTCTTAGATCTTTTTTACTTTTAAAATCAATAAAATAAATGACCATTCAGATCAAAATTGCTCTTTATACTAATTCATCTTATAACTTATTCCATCCTGGTCTAGAGTTGTCTTCTTCCTGTTGTCCTCTTACCTCTCCCCCGTTATTCATAAAAATGACAAAGAAGAAAACCCTAGACTTTGGATACTTATAAGGTAGGCTACTTGTATCAGTTATCAACTGTCACACAAGGCTGCTTAACAGACAACTACAAAACTTTAGTATTATACAACCCAAACCATGTATTCTTGGTGCATCTGGGGTGCTTAAGTCAGACAGGCAGCTTGGCTTATCTTGGTGGATGTCCTTACGTGCTTGTGGATTGGCAGGCTGGAGGCTGGCACTCCACCTGTCTCATGCTCCCACAAGCCATTCAAGTATGTTCTCATGGCAACGATGAATTGCAAAGCAAAAGTGGGCATGCTTTTCCAAGCCTCTCCTTCTCTTGCATGTGCTAACATACTATTTCCAACAAGTCATGTGGCAAGCCCACAGGCAGACTGAAAGGTTATGTGGTAAAGGATGTTGATGCAAGGAGAGATGAAAAAGGAGAGGTAGAGCCATTAATGGAATCACTCAGCTACACTACCTAAGCAAACACATGCTCTTTGCCTTGTGGATAATTATTTCTTTAGGTATCGCCTGATCACTCTACTTAGAAGTAATTATTTTTAATCCTCTTATCCTTTATACCTACTTTCCTTGTCCCGGAGATATATTCTTTAATTGCTCTATAACCTTAGTCATGCTTATCTACCCCTGAGGCATCAGTCTGTGAAAGTGTTTCATCAGTGCCCTGGCTGGTGTGGCTCAGTCAGTTGTGCATTGTCCTGCAAAGTGACAGGCTGGTGGCTCGACTCCCAGTCAGGGCACATACATGGCTGGGTTTCAGGTTCAGTCCCTGGTTCGAATGTGTATGAGAGGCAACCAACTGATGTTTCTCTTTCGTATCAATATTTCTCTCCCTCTCTTTCTCCCTCCCTTCCCCTTTCTCTAAAATAAGTAAGTAAGTAAGTAAGTAAATAAATAAATAAATAAATGTTTTTTTTTTTAACTATATCATGAAAAATTTTCCATTACTGGACAACTAAAATTCAGCCCTTGTTTTACTCCCCTTCATGCTAAAATGCTGCTGCATAACTGGTATGGACTTCTGAAATATCTTTGGCTGAACTTCTAGGAAAATATCTACATGCCATTCTTAGGCAGGGAAGATTTGAGAGCGGTCTATTTGAAAATCATTTAAGTCCATGAGGTTAATATGGTTGGGGTACATGCTAAAAGCGCTTTTCCCCCCATCTTTCTCAGGGAAGATTCCAAATGGAAGATTTGGTATATAATCCAGAACAGGTGTCTCAGTACTACCAAAATGCCTACCTGTACCTGCAACCCTTCTACAACATAACTCGAAGCTTTCCCAGAATCCACTGGTTAAGTGGCATCTTGCAGTGTGGGCAGCCCCAGGAAGTGCTGGTGGAGTATCACCTTGACCCAGCTGATGCAGACCCTGACTGGGAAATCGCCTTCTCCTACTACGTGAGACTGGGGAACGGATGAGGGCTGGTGAAAATGCGTCGGGTGAAAGAGAACGGGGAGAGCGAACTGGAGAGGGCGGACAGGCTGTCCCGACACAGACACTGCAGGCCATGTAGATAATTTCAAAGATTTTAGAAGCCACATTTAAAAAAGTTAAAGGAACAGGTGAAACTAATTTTTAAAATATATTTTATTTTAATTCAGTATATCCAACATATCATCAATGTACAATAGGTATGAAGGAATGGGGAAAATGAGGAATAAATAACTTTGGAGCAAGATCCCAGGGAAATTGTATGGGGAAAGAAGATGAGGAATTAACAGGAAAACGCTGCTGGCCCAGGCTGAAAGGGAGCTGGGTGGGCGGGTCGGAGGGAAGGTAAAAAGAGGATGGGATTCAAATTTTATTCTGTTAGTATTTTAAAAAAGATGGCATAGGATTAAAATTAACATTGATAGCAGCCTTGTTGGGGAAATAAAATCACAATTTATAGCCTAAAAGGCTTGTGCAAAGATACACAGCTTTATCAGTCACCTCGGTGATAGTGAGGATTAGACTCCAGTTACGCTCCAGTTTGGTGGTCCCGAGTCTCCTCACTCACTTGTCACCCTCTCAAAGTCTCTGAGAGACTTTCTCCCCGCTGAGTCATCCCTGTCTTCTATCATTCCCGTGCTTTCATCCAGCTAACACAGTCATCCTGACAGAACAAAGTAAGGAGGGACAGGTAGGGACTAGCAAGTCAAAATGATAATGCAGGCGCTGTTGCCAGGGCAGAAGTGTGGGGAAACCCAGGAGAAAAGTGGAGTGGGGGTTGCTCAGCGTGGAAGGGCTGAGTGTCAGACCATAGTCTGAGGAACCAGTCGTAGAGCCCTTGACTGGCACCAGAGGTGACAGGCTTCTCAGGAACAATGTCACTGAATCAGCTTCAGGTGAGTGTGAACAGAGTGAGTTAGAAAAGTTTTCTCTTCCAGAGTCTAGTCACTCAAAGCAGTTTGTGCTGTACTCATTTCTATGGAATTTTGAATTGAGTGATAATTCTTTTAAAAGTTCGTGAGGATGGATTTTAGCTAAATTTATGTTACCAAGACTATAAGAAGATAAAACCTGGAGATCTTTAAGAAATTACAGACAACCGTCTACTGTGAAGGCTGTCTATTTGGCTTCAAGGCAATGATGATCTTTGTCTCCTTCCACCAACCCCCATGGTTCTCAGGCAGCCCTTCCACTGGAGGAAGAGTCATCAGGACCATTGGCCGTGTCTGGCATTTGACAGGCTAAAGGATGCCCTGTGAAGTATTGAGTCAGGCTTGGGAACTATAAAGGAGACTCCCCTATAGAGAGATTCAGGGATACTCCTACTTGAGAAGTAGGCTCAAGGTTAATCTCCATAACATCTATGCTGTTGATATTTATTTTCTGTTTCCTAGTTCATAGGGAAAGAAAGTTTGGAGATGGAGGGATAGAAAACCTGAACTCTAAAAAGAAAGGTGAGTGTTTATGCTTCTCTTGGAAGAGAAAAGAGTATTTTAAACTTCCAAGAAACAGTTCTTTTACATAGAAGTGATGAGAACAGAATAGTAACAATAACCAGAGAAGAACAGGAAAACAAGAAGTTGCTTGTACCATGAGGCGTGCTGCTGGCCCAAAGAGAAGTGCAAACATATGGTTGGATGGCACGGGTGCGTGAGTGCACTCATCCCTGTGTATCCTCGCTTCTTTTTCAGGACTGAAAGGCTCCTTCTCTCTCTCACTGACATTCAACTTCAGACAAGCCCCTGATCCTTCCCTCGTGATCTACGCCATTTTTCCCAATGGAGCTCTGATAGCTGACAAGACTCAGTTCTCGGTAGAGACGTGCTTTGACAGTCAGGTAAAGTGGCAGTTGAGGAGGGTGAATAAAAGGTCTGGGAGTGGAGAAAGGTCTTACGTATGCTGGAGTTGAAGATATGGCAGGAGCAGGGAAATAAGATATCATTGAAGTTGGGTGTGATGTTGTATTTATAGTGCCTCTAGTATCTGTGGTTGCACTCTATCTCTCTCCTCCTTCTTTTTAAAAATCATGCTGGAGCCCTGACCAGTGTGACTCAGCTGGGCCTCATCCCACAAAGGGGAGGGTCACTGGTTTGATTTTCAGTCATGGCATATGCCTGGGTTGCAGGTTCAGTCCCTGGTCGGGGTGCTTATGAGAGGCAACCCATTGATTTTTTCCTCCCTTTCTTTCTCCCTCCCTTCTCCTCTTTCAAAATAAATAAATAAATTTTAAAAATGTTTTGTTTATTTTTAGAGCAAGAGGAAGGGAGCGGAAAAGAGAGGGAGAGAATCATCCATGTGTGGTTGCCTCTTGTGTGCCCCCTACCGGGCACCTGGCCTGCAACCCAGGCATGTGCCCTGACTGGGAATTGAACCAGTGATCATTTGGTTCACAGGTCGGCACTCAACCCACTGAGCCACACCAGCTAGGGCTAAATAAAATCTTTAAAAAATAATTAAAAAATAAAAACTCATGCTGGGAAATCCCATATACGGCTGTTCCAAATATAGATATTCCATATGCTGTCATCTTTTCTACTCTTCACTGTTTAAACATTCTACATCATTCTACTGTGCTGCTCACTTTTCTCAACTCTATCATAAGACACTGGTTTTTAAGGGCTAGACTGTACATAGGAAAATCAGTGCAAAAATGAAAGAGCAGGCTGAGATACCATAGTTGGAACATATTGACTGATGATCCAAATTATATTTATTTCCTCCTCCTCTGTAAGCTGACATGATTCCCAAGTTATATTTTTTGTTTTCCAGGTTTCCCTTGGCTTCTCACCTTCCCAGCAGCTTCCAGGAGCAAATGTGGACCCACATCTGCAGGCAGCTCCTGGGTCCCTGTGTGCAGTCCGGGCCGCTGATGAGAGTGTCTCACTACTGAGGCCAGAGACAGAACTGAGCAACCGCTCTGTGGGTAGTCTGCTAAGAGGGTGGGAAGAGGGAGTTGACAGAGAAGACAATTCTACTGTATTAGAATAAGGGGTAGATTTCAGGGAGTGGGGGAGGAAGTCTTAGGGCAATAGTGCGCCACCATAAGGTGGTAGAAAAGCAGGTGTGAAAATGAAGGTGGAAATGATGGTAGGAGAAGGGCATGATTAATAGGGACATAGAGATAAGGAAAAAAGATGAAGTAAGAAATAAGGGTGACAAATAATAAAAAAAGGTGAGATAAAGGTTAAAAGTTTAAAAGGAAAAGAGAAAGGAAGGGGTTATGATAAAGTAAATATAGAAAGAATCGTGGAGTAAGGAAGAGAAATAATATGGGAGTGGTGAGCTATGGCACCACAATCTGAGAGAAGTTTTGCATCCGATGTCACTGTGTCAATACTTTATTTTCCTCTTTTGTCTCAGGTCTATGGGATGTTCCCATTCTGGTATGGCTACTACCCCTGTCAGGTGGCTGAATATGATGAGTATCCAGTGTCTGACCCTGGGGACCCTCTTCGACCCCTCATTCTTTGAGTGACTGAAGAGCGTTGGAGCAAGCGTTCAGCTACGTGGAGGCCCTGGTTCTCTAAAGGCAGGGACCTTTTCAGTTTCTTCCGCGTAGATCTTCTTACCCATTTTGTTCTTATAGAAATAATGGTAGTGGGAGGAGGAAAGCAAAGTCTGTATCTAAAAAAAACAGAGAGTCCTGTGGCCACTGATAGATAAAATCCTGAAACTCCTGATATGTGAGGTAGCCTCTCCTATGCTGAAAGAAGTTGCCCAACTGCATTGGAAGAGACCCACTGTGAGGGGTTGAACACCTAGTCTTCCTCTCTCAGGGGTCCCCCGATATTGATTTCCATGGGATTAGTCAAGAAGGAGAATGAGGAAAGGTGGACCAGCAGTCTCTTTTCATTATTATAAAAAAAATATTGCACCTATTTTATGAACGGAGGTTGGGGTGCTGTGGCCCAAGCCTGACCAGGAGGCCTCTGACAGAACTCTGTCTTGTTCATCTTTGTATTCTCTCTAAAAATGCCCGATTCTTCATCATGCTCACTGTATTTTTGTTGGATTGATTGAGCTAACATGGTCCTGAGCCTCTGAAAGTTCAGAGTCTAAATCAAATAAGAATATTTTTGACAGATATTTGAAAGGAGCATGAAACATATTTAACAGTGAAGTAGGTTTAATTGAAAGCCTTTCACACTGGCTGGAACAGAAGTGAACCAATCTTGGTGGCTGAGTATTGGGTAATAATCACCAGTGTCAACATTAATAAGAGAAGAATGTCTTGGTTGAACCCTTTGAGAATGCAATTCCTAGGCAGTAGCCCTTATTGTAAGGGAAGAGACTTAACATTTTATTCTCTGCTCTCTTTCGCACCTATTAGAACATGGGACTGAAAATACTGTCCAATGCCAACATCAAGAAGCCGGTAGATTGTAGTCATCAGTCTCTAATAGAAAGCACCGCAAAGTTGAAGGTAAGCTACCTCTGCAGCTAGTGGAGTCACTGAGCTATTTAGAATCATGGAACTCTGAAAGCTCCCCCTTCACCTCTGGTTCTTGTCCTGAGCCTCTAGCCTCAGAATGACAACAGGCTGTGGGTAATAGGTGCAGGCAGTTGCCCAAAGATCTCTCTACCTGGGGAGGGCCTTTGAAGTCTGAAGGCCTTATCTATTCATTCCCTGGCCAAATGTCCTTGTCTGTCACTGGCCTTGTGACTAGTAGTCCCTTCATCTCAGTTTATTTCACAACAGAAGTCTTCTGTTTTCTAGCATTTCCTTATTTGTAATCTCCTTAGGCAGTGGTCCTAAGGAGATTACTGGGTTTGGGGTTCTTGCCTTTATTAATGTTGTCAGAGGATTCTTAGGTCTGCCAGTACTTCCCAGAGACTTGGCTCTGGGATCTGCTTCCTATTAGGTAAGTGACACGTTGATGGTATAGCACGATCATAGTGTGCGGAGTCTGCAGAAAACTCAGGATCAGATGATTTCTAAGTGAATCTAAGTCTCAAGCCAAGAAAGTTTAATGGGGATAAGGGAACAAGTCTCTTTTCTGAATTCTTATACAACCACGTACAATCACTCAAAACACATTCACACACCTTCACATTTACATAGAACAGACAGTGCATTCTCATTTCAGATCCACAAAACCTTAAAGGGACATACTGACATTAGTTTAGGTCTTGCTCACTGCTTACCTGCTCATTTTGACAAGCCATAAGAATGCGTATCTTCATCGACTCAGAGGATGCTGGTCTCTCTTTCAGATACATTTGCACATACATGCCCACCCACAGTTACCCCCTCCAACATACTCTGGCACCAACAGATAAATGAGGAATTTATTTATTTGAGTATGGTTTGGGGAAGATTTGATCATATTTACACAGGCAGGGTGCTTCACTCCTTTGGGCAAGGAGAGGGAGTGAATGGAAAAGCATGAGCTTGAAAATCACATTAACCTGAGTTAGAATCTCAGCTGCACCATTTACCACCCACGTGAGCTTGAATAAGTTCATGAACAAGCCTGATCCTTCTTTTCCCTTTGTGATAATAACCTACCTCTCAGGACTGGTGTAGGGGATGATATGAAGTCCCCAGCACAATATCTAGCTTATAGTAGGAGCCCTAAACACGTTAGGTCCTTTCTTTACTCTTGCTCCCTTTCCAAATCTCTTCCAGGTTAAAATTTGTCCATTTTGACTGTATTTGATTCATACCTCTGGGATGGCACTTACAATACTATAACTGTACTCCAGCTCACCATCTCCTACAGTGCAATGTGAGCTCCTTGAGGACAAGGGCTATGTCTTTTTTATTTCTGTTCCCACCGAAGTTCCTGAAGCATGATTGATACTCAGTACATATTTTATACATTTGAATAGAACTCCATGGATGAAATACAGGTGTGCATGGGTCATTTAGTTCAGGTTTTCTGGCTTATGAGCTATATGGAGGGGTCAGTAAATATAACTTGAAAAATGATACCAGATTGTGTGTGTTTGGGAACGGCTTGGTGACTTGGAGGGTGGTGAACTTATATGCAGTGTGGGAACTTAGAGATTGAGTCTAAGTATTGCAGGTTTTGTTACATCACTCACCATCTCCGGTGACATGGTTTTTGAAAGCCCTAAACTCTCTCAGGTGGCCTAGGTGCCTTTCTGTATACCGCAGCCTCTTGTACATTCCCAATATGGTAGTACTATGTTATTTTGTTTATAATGTATTATAATTGTAATGTATTGTAATTGTCTGCCCCTCTGACTATGAGCTCTTTGAGGTGGAGACTGTGTTTGACTTACTGTGGTCTCTCAGGCCACAGAGTAGATACCCACTGAGTGATAGCTAGTACATGTTAAGCAAATGATAACAACTCCTAAGCATTTCTTCTACCACCACCTTCTTTCTCCCTTTTTTTTTTGGATCCCAGGAGACATTATGGGCACAGCCCTGCAGAACCCAGACAATTTGGTGCAGATGCCCAGTGGCTGTGGGGAGCAGAACATGGTGCTTTTTGCTCCCATCATCTGTGTCTTGCAATATCTGGAGAAGTCAGCGCTGCTGACCAAGGAAATCAGGTCCCGAGCAATTGGTTTCCTGGAGCAAAGGTGAGTTTGTTCGATCTTCCTTCTTGGACACCTTCTTGGGGGCCTATGATAGTTTGATAAGATGCTGGGAGGTTCAGTCCCTGAAATGTCCCTCACCCTTGAAAGTCATGGGGGTGTTTTTTGAAGTTGTCACTGTGATCTGAAACCACATCTGGCTTCCCAGGGTACCAGAAGGAGCTAATGTACAAACACAGCAATGGCTCATACAGTGTCTTTGGGGAGCAGGATGGAAATGGAAACACGTGGTAATATTGCCCAACACTCAATGCGTTCTGTACCCTGGAGCATAATCCCTGAGTGGAACTATTCCTCTGCCTGTCCCTTAAAGCCCATCCTTCTTGCACTCTCTCCTCCACTCTCATTCTGCTTACTTCAGCCGCATGAATGGTTTGCTCTCTGACCTTGTGCCTCCCCAGTTCTTGTTCCTATTAATGCCTATAAATGCCTCCCTTTTCCAGGCCTTCAAGGGCATTATATTTCCTCAACTTCCCTTCTGGAACCATATACCAGAATAAACTACAGAACTATTGCACCCTCGCCTACAAATCCCCCTTCATGCAATGTTTCCCTCTTTGCCCAGACAGGCTGACAGCCTTTGTCACCAAATGCTTTGGCCAAGCTCAGGAATTCATTTTCACTGATGACAAGAACATCTAGGATACCCTCTAGTGGATGGCAGGAAACCAGCTCCCCAGTGGCTGCTATGCTAATGTGGGGAAGCTCATTCAAACTGGCTGTGAAGGTGTGGATCTGCCTGGGGGCCGGCTGCCCACCACTGTGTCTGACGCTTTTCTGCTACGTATTTAGGTTTAGGGAATTGGACCTCTGATGGGGCAGAGTCAGATGAGCTGTTGTTCACTCGGCATAGTCTCTGGTGACTTGGCCAATATACGTAACCATTCTGAGCCTCAGTTTCCATGTCTGTGAAATGAGAACATATTCTAGAACTTGGTTCTCAAAGCCTGATTCCAGACCCATAGTATCAGTGTCATCTAAGAACTTGCTTGAAATACAAATTTTACCCCCAACTCCAGACCTACTCGGAGAGAGTCTGGGGGTGTGGATCAAAATTTGTGTTTTAATAAGCCCTCGTGATTCTGATACTTGCTACAGTTTTCTTTTTTAGATTTGATTATTTATATTTTCATCCTAAAAATTGTTTATATTTTTTATACTTGATATTCAATATTATATTAATATCAGGTATATACTAATAGTGTTTAGACATTTATATAACTGACCCCCTTAATTTGTCTTGTAATCACCTGATATCATGTATAGATATTACTGTACTATTGACTATATTCCCTGAGCTTTACTTTACATCCCCATGACTATTTCCATACTTGCTAATGCTTGATAACTGCTGGACTAGAATATTTCTTAGCCTTTCACTATCTCTAAATCTGAAGCAAAGGCATTTGCTTTGGCAGGGACTAACAGGCAGCCCAGTGTCTTTTGTAAAAGGGTTTTACTCTTTGCTGGACATTGTTCTAAGTACTTTGTTTATTTGATGTCATTTAATATTTATAATGAATCATTGAGCTAGGTACTGGTATACCACTCTTTTTTTAAAGATTTTATTTATTTATCTTTAGAAGGGAAGGGAAAAAGAGAGGGAGAGAAATATCAATGTATGGTTGCCTCTCATGCATCCCCTGCTGGAACCTGGCCTGCAACCCAGGCATGGGCCCTGAATGGGAATCCAACCATGATGCTTTGGTTCACAGGCCTGCGCTCAGTCCACTGAGCTACACCAGCCAGGGTGATACCACTCTTAATCACATTTTACAGATGAAGAAACTAAGGTTCAGAGATTAAGTAACTTGCTCCAGGTGAATGCTAAGGAGCGGTAGCACTAATTGAACTACAGCAACCGGACTCCAGAGACACAGCGCGCGCCCACTCACTGCCTTGCCTGTCCCCTCCCAAACGCAGTGGGTGGTGCTGATGCTGTAGGATAACTTGTTCAGTTCAGAACACACCAGTGAAAGGAAGATTTGTATGAACTTTGCTAGAGAAATTATTTAGAGTGGTATTGTAGGTATCAAAGGGCCTGTAATAAAAGTCTAGAGCATTGAAAAAAAGAAAACTCAGTGTAAGATTTGTTCGTACTCCTTATGCAGAATCTGATCAGTGCCCCTACCCCTACCAAACAGCTTTCTTCTCTTATACTGTGTCAAATACACCCGGGAGTAAGTATAAGCCAGGACCTGATTGGAACAAGGCCCAGAGGATTTTCTCCCCCTTTCTGATTAGAGCTGTCTAGTCTATCGACTATCACATGTGCAGTCAGTCTTAGTGGTCTGCACAGGAGCTCCAGAGTTCAACTTCCTACGTTCAAATCCCAGTCCTGATGATCAGCTGTGCAGTCTTCAACAAGCTACTTAACCCTTTTATGTGTTTTTTCCTTTTATTTACACAATAAGGATAATAATTTAGATGAAATATTTTTTAAAACTTGCTAAATCTTTCTGTGAAAGACATTAAACAGGGAAGATGTCACTTAATCTTCCCAGGGGGAGAGGTGGGCTTTGTGCTGCATGAGGGGACATCCATCTGAGGAGGCTCCGAGTTTGTAAGAATCTGAGAATAAGAGTCTTTTTATCCCCCTCCCACACCTTCCTTTTTAACCTCCCATGGTTTCTAACCTTCTCCTAGGGAGCTGATGACCTCCTGTTACGTCTCTCCGGCTGCTGTTTAAGGTTGTGCTGTTGTTGAAATCCACCCAGTTCCCCCTCCTGTGTGTCCCGGAGGCTTGGGGCGCTGTCAGCCTGTGGGAAGGAGTGTGTTTGTTTGTGTTAAATAATCCATCCATTGCAGGGAGGGAGACTATTCTGTCATTTGCACACAATCCTCGCCTGGGCTGGCTGCTCGCCTGACTCACGGCCTCCCTGTTTCCCTCCAGGGTGGTGTTGACGATGAGACCTCCTTGACCGCCTACACCCCGGCTGCCTTGCTGGAGATGAAACAGACCATAGATGTGAGTTTCTCTGGCTCCTCTTCTCTATGGTCATATTATTTGGCCTATTTATAGAGAAATTTACCTAGTTTTGTCCCTAGTCAGCCTTTTGAACTCAAAGGAGATATGATTTCCTTATCACTTCCCATTTTATAAGAAGTGCCTTGTAAATTCACTTCTTTTCTTTCATTTTTTAGGACCCAGTGGTGAGTCGGGGTCTGCAGTTTCTCAAGAATTCTGCTTCCTTCACCACCAACCTCTACACACAGGCCCTACTAGCTTATACGTTCTCTCTGGCTGGGGAGATGGACATCAGAAACATGCTTCTGGAACAGTTAGATTGGCAGGCTATCATCTTAGGCATGTGGTCATGTTACGAGTTTTTGGAAACTGAAAATATGCTGTGAATTATCTATAATTTTTCCTAGTCTCCATAGTTCCACATATATTCAATTCTAGGATTCATTTTAGTAAAAGTTGTTGTCATAAAATGATTGTTGAGAGTTTTGTGGGAAAGCCCAGGTAAGTCCTCAAAGGCACTGCTACACTTGTAACATGAAGGAAAAATGAATGGGAGAAGCTAGTCAGAAAACTTCCTGGAATTGTAAAATCGCCCTTTTGCAGATATCTAATAATTTGTTGGTGTAAGACCCTTGAAGTTGATGGGGTAAGACTAAAACTTAGAGATTTCTCAAGGTCCCTTTAAAACTTTGGATGTATGTAGGAAAATATTTGCTATTCTAACAGATCTTACGAATAAAATATTAATGCGTTTTATTTATCCAGCTGTGTACTTAAAATTATACTTCTGGGAAAAAGTTTAATTGCAGCTCTCTTTGGTACAAATGCCGTCGCCAAGTTGCCCTCTCACATGGACTCTGGGTGGTTCTGGGCCATGACGTGGGTGTTTCAGACAGTGACCCCTGTCCCCGGTGTGTGGTTTCATGCGGTTATCTCTCCTCCATTATCTTGCATGGCAGGTTCACGTGCTTCCTGCTGTGTTCTTCCAATTTGATTGCCTTCTGTGGGTTATTTATTTATTATCAATAAACATATTTAGTTAGATTTCTAGCTTTCACTCTTCTCACTTCTGTTTGTTCTTCTTTGTCTTCTGACCCTTGGCTGTCACTGAGGGCTTTTTTAAAAAAATTTTTTTTAAATTGATTTTAGAGAAAGAAAAAAAAAAACCCAAACATCAGTTTGTTGTTTCACTTATTTATGCATCCATTGGTTGATTCTTGTATGTGCCCTGGCTGGGGATCGAACCTGCAACCCTGGAGCAGCAGGATGATGCTCTAACCAGCTGAGCTACGCGGCCAGGGCCATAGGTCTTTGATTTGGTCTCATACTCTATTTGCTCGCCCTCATTAACATTTCTTCTATGGTTTCTCAGAGTTCTTAGGCATGCTCTGCCATATTTATTCTTCTTAAAATGTTAAACCTTTAAGTAAAATGAATACTAAAAATTAATACAATTTTGTAGCTGTCGGGAAATCTGGTTTACCTGAAGCATAGTGGAACTCAGGTGGGAAAGGCAGGGTAGGTTCCTATCATGAAGGGCCTTGCATATCAGACTCAAGTTTGTGCCTGATACTGAGGAGCTATTAATTTGTTTCAGAAAGCTCAGTCTGTCACTTGGTGAATAGGATGATTTAGAGGCTGGAAATCCTGGATTTGAAAAGATCAGGGGGTTATTTCATTTATTTAGGTTAGGGTGAAGGAGAAACTGAATTAGTGGGGTGGCACTGGGGGAAAGGGCATGACAAATGTAAATAATGACGTAAAAACGACCGGATGACACCAAAGAAAGTCGTCATTAATTCATTCGTTCTGAAATGTTAAAACCTACCATTTCCAAGTTGCCAAGGATATAGAAGTAAACAGGAAAACATACAGAGGTTATATTCTTGTTGAAATTAGGGCCAGTTTTACAGAGGGTATAACATGTAATTTAGGCCTGGGAGAACGAACATATTTTAATAGGTAGAGTGTCCGGTAAAGATGTTAAGTATACTGAGCTGACGTATGGTAATAACTCATTTGGAACTTTAAAATATTATATGGGACTCTGCTTCCTTATTTCAGGGAAATTCTTGACCAAATATCAGGAAAGATTTCTTTCTTGTTGATCCCTAAATAATTATAATATATAATTTTAAAAAGCAGTGGATCAAGTGTTGAGAACTCTCAGTGACAGATATATGCCAGGTTTGTTTCTCAGTAAAATCCTTGGCTAATCTAAGAAGTTACATATCCCCCAACCAGTTTTTTGAGCTGACGTTGTGTCCCATTCCTTGAATTGCTTCACATGCCCAAGCAGTGAACCCTCCATGGCTCTACCCTTCACGGAGGGGAGACAAAAACATTGTCAAGCTGCACAGGCGTAACTTATTCACAGCTTCCCCAGCATGGTGACCTGTCTTCTTATTTTTACGTGATAGTGTAGTATCTAAATATGGCTGTTCTTTTTCATTTGGGATAGGAGGGAATGGATTCCTTTATTCAGTAATAGATATTATTTTACCAAGTGTCAAGCCTGTAGAAATTCTCAGCACAGAGTGAGATATGACAGTTTTGCTGAACACCTCATTCTTTTTTTCTTTCCCCTAGTTGCAATTTATATAAATAAAGATCGAATGTTTTCAGCATGAAAAAGTTTGAAGTACATGATGCTACACAGTCTTACTGACAGGTTACCTGTCTTGTTCCCAGATGAAGAAAAGGTCATCACGTGGCATAAAGGCTAAGAAACCTTGGCTGGCAAGGAAGGATTTCCTCAAGATTTCCTAACACCCTTTCCAACTGTGCCATGAAGATTATGACAGTTAAATAATTTGAAAACTGTGCAATTTCTAGGACTATCCAGTTGCTGCTATTTCCTCCTCAAATAAGGAAACTGTAAAATATATACTGAGCACATATCCACTTGCTTCTAACAACAGCCCATTTGAAGCTAGGTTTGGTTGCCAGATATGTATATATGAGATTAGCCTACTGACCGATGGATGTTCACTAATAACTTGATGGAGATTTTTCTATACAAGTGAGACACTATGATTTCTATGTCAGCTTCCCCAGTGCCCATGAATGTGGTTCTTAGATATTTAAAAGATTTATCATCTAAGCTAGCAAACCGCCACCAGATTTGTAGGTTATAGTGTTGTTTGAGGTTAATTCCAATGGCTCACAAAATGGTAAGCATATGCTTGATCGTGTTCCTCAGGATACTGTAGTTGCTCTCCAAGCTCTTGCCAAATATGCCACCACTGCCTACGTGCCATCTGAGGAAGTCAACCTGGCTGTAAAATCTGCTGAGAATTTCCAGCGCTCTTTCAATGTTCAGGCTGCCAACCGGTTGGTATTTCAGCAAGAGACTCTGCCCAATGTCCCTAGAGTGTACACCGTGGAGGCCACGGGCCAGGGCTGCGTCTGTGTGCAGGTAAGGGGAGATCCAAGAGAATGAGTGTGTGTTGCAAAGGAGAGTCTGAAGGCATCCTCAACTCGAGTAGAACCTTCTCTCTATGTACCTCATTTATGACAAAAGTGGTTTCAACCATACAATTTCTAAAGTTCTTCTCAACTCAAATTTATTTTATTTTTACTAGATGGTGCTGAGATACAGTATTCTCCCTCCTAAAAATGTGGAGACCTTTAGTCTTAGTGTGGAAATGGGAAAAGCTAGATGTGCCCAACCAACTTCATCTCGATCCTTGACCCTCACTATCCACACCAGGTGAGGGAAGCAGAGGCTGTGGTGGGGGCACCTGGATCTCAGAAGCTGAGTTGGGATTTGTGTACATGTGTGTTTGTGTGTGTGTTGGGAGTGAGTAGGCTGAGAGGGAAAATCGTAGGCTCGCGTAGGCTTTTGCTTCTTTCTGCCCTCAGTTACGTGGGGAGTCGCAGCTCTTCCAACATGGCCGTCGTGGAAGTGAAGATGCTTTCTGGGTTCAGGCCCATGGAGGGCACCAATCAGTTAGTAAGTCGCTTCTCTTTTCTTCATTTAATAGCTCCCAGGGGACCTACTGTTATCATTAAAAAGCTGGCAAGACGGCATCATAGTATACATACACAACTCATAATTGCGTTATCTAAATGAAGTACAAAGGTGCACCAGACATATGAAATGGAACCTGGAATAGTCTTTGTTCCTTTTCTTACCTTTCCACAGTATGTGCTGTTTCCTTCATCATGACAGAGCTGTGGGAGGTGCCCCTAGGGCACAGGGGAGGCTCGGATCTCAGTCTCCTTTTTCCCTTCTTTCTTATTCAGCTTCTCCAGCAACCACTGGTGAAGAAGGTTGAGTCTGGAGCTGACATACTTAACATTTACTTGGAAGAGGTAGGTACGCAAGAACCGGAGCAAAGAGCTTGATTGTTTATGTTTTGCAAATTCCCTTCTAATCTGTATATACTAGAGTGCCGTGCACAGGGATGAGCGTCCGGAGTGACTGAGTTCACAACCACGGAATGAGTTCTGCCTCCACACTGGTGTTACCACAAAACAGCCTCGTGTCCTTCAGGGCGGCACCGCCTCACAGGTACAAAATGTGAGCCATCCATGCCATTTAAAACTTTGTGATGGCACATTTTAAAAAGTAAAGAGAAACAAAGTTAATTTTAATGCAAATATATTTTATTTAACCTTATAGACCCCAGATATTTTTATGTCACCATATAATTAATATAGCTAGTGTTCATGAAGTATCTTCCTTCTTTATTTTTTCTTACTACCTCTTTGAAATCCAGTTTGTGTTTTACTCTTCCAGCACATCTCAGTTCTGACCAGCCGAGTTTCAGGTGCTCAGCAGCCACCTGCAGCCGGACAGCTCCAGAGTGTAGGGTAGGTGTTAATAGCAGAGGCTTTGGTGCCAGACTGCCGGGTTGACGTCCTGGTTCTCTCCTTACCTGCAAGTTGTTGAATGACTGTAATAGCATAATCAATAAACTATACTTAAGAACAAAAGAAGAAAGTGAAAACAGGCCCTGAGGCTTATATGACTATTTTAACGAAGGGCGATAAACTGTGGAGAAGTGCCAAAACAGAGCAAAGGGGGTTGTCTTCCAGGGGCAATAAATTATAAGATGGCAAATATATGGGATAAAGGTGTGGAAGGTAAGGTTTGCTCCTGCAGGTACAAGTCAGTGCTGGCTCTCTGTCTCCTGCAGTGAGTGTTCTCCTGGTTTGGGACAGGAGGGGAAGCGGCACTAAGGGAATTGCATGCCCCGCTTTCAGGCAGAAAGGGGGATGCAGGGTACCTCTGTGTCTTCCCCTCTCACTCCGTCTTGGGTCGTCTAGCCTCACTCTGTCCTCTCTGGCAGTACCAAGCTACACCTCGTTCCCTATTTCTACTCTGCTCTCTGGTAGTTTTGCCATATGCTTTTACCCCACTGCATGGAAAGCCTTTCCATCTTTTCTCTGCCTGGAGGACCTGCACTAGTCCTGTTGGGTATGGCCTTCAAGGTAGGTTTTCTGCTCTAGTGAGTGCGTCTTCCCCAAGAACTCCCCTCTGCTCCTACACCACTGTGTATTTCACAGAGAGGACTTACCACGCTGGGGTCCCCTTTTCTGTGAACCCTCCCACCACCCCCACCAGAATGTTAGATCCTTAAGTGCTTCGTGTACGCTATGATACGTACACCTCATCCTTCCTCATTACCCATTCCCTTCTTCCTCACTAACAAAAAGTGCAATTTTATTTGAAGCAGCAATTTGCCCAACTAAGATACTCAGCTTCTCAGAATCGTTTGCAGTGAGGGGTGACCATGTGGCAGAATTCTAGCCAACAAAAGAAATTGGAAGTCTCTGGAAATAAATTGCTTCTGAATAAAATGGCAAAGCCTCACACAGGGAAAGCTTTTTTTTTTTTAAGTTTATTTTTAAAATACCTTTCTTCCCAACTCTGTTCTATTTCTTTTATTGTTGTTCAAGTACAGTTGTCCCTATTTCCCCCCGCACCCTAGCCATCCCTACCTCCTACCCTTGAGAGAAACCTTTGGACCCTTGTATCTTTCCATCTGGAACAAGGACCAGATTCCTGGGGAAAGAGCAGCCCTTTTGCAACAGAGCCATTCTGCAACCATGCAGATAGAAATCGCATGCTGAAAATGAGAGAGCAGAGAGGGAGGAGGAGCCTGGGTGTGTGATGACATCACTGGTTCGGCCTGGACTGTGTGTCCTTGGACATTTTGGAGAAGCACTGAGAAAGGTTAAATCTTTTAAGGACTTGCTACATTGTTTTCCAAAGCAGCTGTACCATTTGACATTCCCACCAGCAATGTAGTGTGTGAGGGTTCTGACCACTGTACATCCCTATCACTACTTGTTGTCTGGCTTTTTGATTCTAGCTTTCCTGGCATAAAATGGTATCTCATTGTGGTTGTGTTGGCAGTGGTGAAATGGCAGAGGTGTTAGACCGGTGGGGTCAGACTGGCCTTGGTTCAGCAACCTCGGTACTTGAGTTTTGGCTAAGAAAGAATAGAGCCAAGACTCAAACTATGAGAAAGTTTATTTAGAAAGTCACAGAGGTAGAAGTGAACTATAGAAGAAATGGGCTCAGGGAACAAGTTACAGAGGCAGAAGAAGGGCCCTTGGAGTTTAGGAGAAAGAGAGAGGCAAGGAAAACGCGCCTGCGGGAAGGGGGAGGGGAAGGCGTGGGCGTGCTTCACAGAGAGAGCTGCACCGGGGCCTCTTCTTGAGGGTGTTTATCTGGAGGTCCCAGGGGAGGATCCCAGTAGAACCTTCATCAGCTTTCCAAGGGTGTCCTTTCAGGATCATGGTTTCCACTGATTGGTCAGAGCCAGGGGTCATTAGTTAATGACCTGGGGTCCTGATGTCAGCCATGGTGTTTTGCTGTTCTTCCGGGGTCTGAAGCTGAAACACAGTTGAGGCCTAGGGGTTATCCCTAGGGGTGAACGCTTCAGGGACTGGTATTGGAAGGGCTCCTAACTCCCTTCCTCTTCAGGGTCAGCATTCTTAGTGACTCACTTCCAATGACTAGAATAAGGCAGAAGTGAGGATGAGATCAGGAAAGAGTAGATATTATGGTTTCCTGCCATGTGGTAAGGACACGCAGACAGTCTAGAGAGGCCCCCGTGGACTCTCTAGACAAAAACTCTGACACCTCCAGCCAACAGCCAGTAAGGAACAGTCTTGCCACAGTCCTGTGAGTGAGCTTGAAAGAGGATATTTCAACTCTAGTCAAGCCTTCAGATGACTGTCCCAGCTGACATTCTGACTGTCACCTCATGAGAAAGCTAGAATCACAAGCTTAAATGCTCCTAAATTTCTGATCCACAGAAACGTATTAAATAATATGCATACATTGTTTTAGTCATTATGTTTGGGGGCACTTTGTTATGTAGCAATAGTTAATGCAAAGAGGTTTTTCCAATTCTCCTTCAAGGTTAGATATACTGTGTGCCCCATAGAATGCTGTATTTATCCATATAAGAGGGCCCATTATACTGTGTTACAAATGTTCCTGTACTCACCTGATCTCATCTTGTGGTGGGTAGAAAGGCCCCCCAAAATGTCACGTCCTAAACCTGAGAACCTATGAATATGATACCTTATTTGGCAAAAGGAACTTTGCAGATATGATTAAGGTTATGTACCTTAAAATAGGGAGATTATCTTGGATTACGTGGGTGGTCCAAATCTAATTACATGAGCCCCTACAAATAGAGAACTTTCTCCATCAGGAGGCAGAAGTAACACAGCAGAAGAGAAAGTCAGATTCAAAATATAAGCAGGACGTCCTCAACAGCTGTTGCAGACTTTGAATAGGGAGGGGGAAATGATAAGGAAGGCAGGCAGCAAGGAAAAAGGAACCTCAGCTATAGCGACAAGGCACTTAATTCTGCCAACAACCTGAATGAGTTTGGAAGCAGATTGTCACCACCACCTCCAAAGAGGAGCTCAGGCTGGACAATGCCTTGATGTCAGTCTAGTGTGACCTGGAGAAGTGGAACTAGCTGAGCCCAGCCAAGACTTCTGACTTACAGGACTGCAGGAAAATAAATGGGTATTGTTTTCAGTTGCAAAATTCATGATGAGAATAGAAAACCAACATGCATCTAGATTGTAAACACCTAGGAAACAGAGACTCTGACCATGTCATTATTATATTCCCAACACTCACGTTATCAAAATAGTTGTTTAATAAATACTTGTTGAATAAACTAAGAAGATCAAGGTTGTGTAACAGTACAGTTGACCCTACTTCCCCCCACTGCATTTAAAATTTTTATCTATTGCTTTCTTTTCCCCAAGGCCTAAATCCGGTGCCACCTCCTAAAAGACACCCTTACTCTTCAATGCTGCAAGTATTCCTTTAGTCTCCTCAACCCCCTTAGCATTTCGACTACATCTTTTGCATTGTTTGTCTGTTGTTCTTTGTGTTTGTGTTTTGGAAAACAAATATGAGGCAAAACACAAACTGCAGACATTTTTAATTGCATATGTCCTCAAAGAAAATTTTAAAAGCATATATTTCCTAGAGTATTTTCAGTCAACATCTACAGTTTAATCTTACACTTACATAGTTGAAATATTATGATTTCTGATATTATAATATTGGCAAGAATAAAGTTTATCACTTGAGAAACATTATACAACATAATGTATAGTCCATACAACTTGATACCCACTATCCATGAAAAAAATTACACAAATAAGTTCAATAATCAGAATTTTTACATTGTTCCTGCTCCCCCTTTGATTCATATTTCCATCTACTTTCATCGTAGGATTTTTTCAAATATATTTTATGCTTAAAAGTTTTATTGATTACTCTATCAAACTTTCTACAACAAAAATACATGTGTAACTTGAAATAGCAAAGTGTTTTTATTTTATAAGACTTAAAGATATTCAGGAATTCTTGTGGTCCTGGCTGGTGTGGCTCAGCAGATTGAGCACCAGCCTGTGACCCAAAGGACGTCTGGTTCAATTCCCAGTCAGGGCACATGCCTGGGTTGTGGGCCGGGCCCCCAGTTGGGGGTGTGCAAGGGGCAACCTATTAATGTTTCTCTTTCACACTGATGTTTCTCTACTTCTTTTTCTTCCTCCCTAATGCCTCTCTAAAAATAAATAAAAGACTTAAAAAAAAGAATTGTTGTGGATTGAGCTAACACTAGAATTATTAATAAACACGATATAAAAATAAACACAATAAACCAAAACAGAACAAATTTTAAGAATAAACTTAAACAACCATATATTTTGGTAAATAAATGTTGAACATAAAATGTAAAATAAACTCAGAAACACCATTCCTAATGAGATGAATATTGTTGTTTTTTAAAAATTTGTGCATGTATCTATAGATGATTATTACTTATTTCTAGAATGAGATCAGAATCAGGATTACTTTATTCCTGTTTTTAATTTTTATAGATGCATTCTTTGAGAAATCTCACTCATGTAAATAAGTAAGTAGGAACAGAAGGCATTTAGCTTTAGCAATTTCACTAAATTTTCTGATCTCTTTCAAGTCATATGCCCAAAACCATATAATAACCTTTTATCAAAAATTATTCTTAGTAATTCATTATCAGTACTCAGCTTGACTAGTCTTTCCTCAATTTGTTGAAAGAGTTGTAAATCTTGACTGAAAAAGAATTTTGTATTAAATTAACTTACCTACACAAAGTGACAGTATTTCAATTTTTTTAAAGCCCCAGAACAAGAACAGCGCAATGTGGAAGGAATTAAAGTTACAGCTCTTGTCAAGGGGAAAGAGGAAGGAAAACGAGGAATGATGATGAAGCTGCAACCCATCCCCCATTCTTGGTGAATTGCTGAGATGGAGATGATGCGAGGAAGTTGGAGATCAAAG